GAGAGGGAGAGAGGGAGGGAGGGAGGGAGGGAAGGAGAGAGGGAGAGAGGGAGGGAGGGAGAGAGGGAGGGAGAGAAGATATCCACGAAGATATTTAAAAGGCTACTTCTGGAATAGCTTGTTTACAGCAGAGGGCAGATGTGACAATCAGCCGGCCCATTTGGTATTTCATTTCCCGAGTTCTCCCATGTGGGCCCATCCCCTTGCCCTCTGTGCTGGCCTATAGTGTTGCTTCATTCCTGGTTTTGTGCTTTAACTGCCTGCAGAAGACCCTTCTTTCTGTTTTCTGAAAAGAATGAAAGCTTAGCTCAATCAGTAGAGAGCTTCAATTAGTCCGGGAGTCCGGAGACTACCCAGGAGTTAGGAAAATTACTGGTAGAGGCATGTGGCAGGGCATGGCCGACATCAGGACAATGTGTGTCCTGTGCATGTGGAGCCCTGCTAACATAGTCTGCTCCACTGCCTGCAGGAATAGGGCCAGACTTGGCATCAAAGCCTCTTACAGTTCACCTCCTGTCTCCCACTTTTTTCTTTTCACTCTAGTTTGTTGTCCTGGTTTGATTGGGGGAAGGAAAACTGACTAAGACTCAGTCCAGTGTAGAGGGGTCTGTTTGAGAGTGCTCTTGGGGCAGCATCAGTTGAAGAAAGGGGAAGCGTTGAGGAGGGAGAGAAGCTAAGGTGATGAGCAGTCTTGGTGGAAGCCTCAACTGACCCTGCAGAAGTGGAGATAAGAGAACAACCGGCATAGTTGCTCAGACTTAAGGTGATGAGTGGGACTTGGCCTTCACACCCACCTGTGTTCATCAAGCACTAGATGCTGGCCAACTCAGGAAGAGTCATGACCATCATTAATGTTGGCCAGCATCTAGTGCTTGATGGACACAGGTGGGTGTGAAGGCCAAGTCCCACCCATCACCTTAAGTCTAAACAACTATGCAGCCATGTTCCCAGCCTCCCAAGGGATTGACTATAATTTCCCATGTATGTATATATGAACTGACTTTTGAATACTATCAGAAAGAAATTGAATGTGTGGCTGTATTGCACCTTGCTTGTCTTTTCACCCTACATTGCAACCATCCCCTCAGTATTTACAAGGGCTTGACACTAGAACTCCCTGGGGATAGGGAGACCCAAATCTGCACATGCTCAAGTCCCTTATCCAAATTGACACAATGCTTATACATAATTTATTTATGCACCTCTTCCCATATACCAGCAAATCATGTCTAGCTACTTACAATGCTTACTATGATGGAAATTTCATGTAAACTCTTGATATGCTGGATTGTTTAAGGACTCTTGTCAAGGAAAATATTCATTACATGCTCAGTACAGGTGTAGCCATTGCAGACCTGATTACACAGAACCTCATTTGGGATGGGCTGAGTCCAAGGACATAGAACCTAGAGAAATAGAGGCCTAGCTGTGTTTTCCCTGTTCCCCACCAAAGAAGGGAAATAACCTTTGAATCCAATGGGGGGTCCGGGATCAGTTTATAAAGTTAGACTTTGGATATTCTTATTCCAAATATAAATCAGTTAGTGATATAAAGGCAGCCAGGACATACTGGCTCACATGCAGCTGCCAACTGAAGAAAGGTTCAGATGGCATTCCTTCAAATGCCTGGGTGTCTGGCATCCCACCCTGCTTATTCTGACCACCCAGACTGTTCTGCTAATCAGAACTGTCTGGTTTAATTGTTTTTGCTAAATACAGTTGACATAAATTTTATGCACAAAATATATGTAAGAGGCAAGGAATCACCCCACAATAAATACCTCTATTCTCACTTCCCATTCAGAAAAAAAAAAAGCAGCATCATTATCCTGAGACATCCAGTGAGTTTCCACCCCATTCCAAACCTTTGTCCTTCAAAGTTTCCAATCACACAGTCAAGCTTTGTGTTTATATTTTCTGATGGTTGGTGGTGTTGATTTGTCCGAATTTGGAATCACTAGAAGACAAGCCTCCAGACACACCTGTATACAAAAAGAAAATTGTGAATGAACATCCCAGAAACCATTGCCCCTGTTTCTTGATTGTGGATGCTATGTGACTGGCTCCTTCAATGTCCTGCCATGATGAAATGTACCTCAGTCTGTGATGCATAAACGCTTGCCTCATTAAGTTGCTTTCTCACAGCAACAGGAGAAGCAACTAAAATGTATTTCCTTGCCCAATTTACAGTTGTACAAGTCTGCATCCATAAACTACATGCATGCATATCTACACATACACAAATATATACATACATGCATGTATGAATGGAATCATACTGTGTTTTTCATGGCTCTTGTTTTTCATTCAACAGTATGATCCTGAGATGAACTCACAAGCATGTAGATTGATTTGGACAACTCTAAATCCTAAACACTATGGTATCTGATATTAATAAAAAGCCCCAAGTAGTCAGGAGTCAATAAGCTCTCTGACTCTTTCCAAGAGAAGAGAGACCTTTGCTCAGCCATGTCAGGTTTTCCATCCTGTAATGGGCCTGCTGGAAAACATTGTTCTTTTCCATTCTTCTCACTGCCTGCTTCCCACAGGGATATTGAACTAACGTCACCGTGGAAAATGTGTCCAATGAAACACCCTCCCGGTGAGCCAGGCCTTTAGCACCCTCTGCATAGGGTGGGAAACAGGCTCACTGCCCCAGCTTCCTCCACCTCCCTTATTCTTTGTTCCTCTGTTGTCAAATAATCCTTCTCCATGATCAGTTGGTGGGGGCCAAGTATTTAACATACCACGTGCCCAGACCATTCCATGCATCATAGCCAAGGACCAGACTCCTGACTATAGCATAGACCTCATTTCACATGTGGGAGAAATGTTTTTGGGAAAAAAATGTCCTCTGGTGCTCTGGATTTATCCTACTTGGTAATTTTGCTTCTGCACCAAAATGTCCAAGCCTCAAGGACAACTCCACATGGAAAAGAGGCCATATCGGGAGGCATTTCCCCTCATTTCAGCCAGCTAAATGTCAATATGTTCTGTTGGCATTCTGCACTTAGTTTTCACTACAGTAGCCACTGGGAAATTCCCTTCGCTGAGTTTGGAATCAGATCCTAGGGTGACCTGATGGGCCCTGGTACTATGGACTCTAAATATCCAAGTTTTCCATCCAAAAAGCATCAAAACATTTTCTCACTTGCTTGGCATGAAATGACATAACCAATAAACCATGGGCTTCTTCTAGCCATCCCCATGTCACTAAAACAGCTGGACTGGCACCCTTGTGTCCCTCATTTGGTCAACATGGGTTTTCTCACAGCACTAGTAATATTTATTTTTGTAGCCAGCTCTTCATAACTAAGTTAGCAGCTTGTATAGGCTAGGAAATGGTCTTTTTCATCTTTATACTTCTGATACCAGGCCCTGGCACAGAGGAAGCACTGTCCTATGTTCCTATTCCTGTGTTCCCTATTCCTGTCTTAACCCCTAAGTTGACCTGAGTGGCTAAGTGCCACATAGGAAAGTTACAGCTTGAAATGGCTGACAAAGGTGAATATCTTTACAAAGAGCCTACAGAAAATCCTAGGCCAAGTCCTTGACATAAAGGTAAGGGTTCATATGGAAGAGACCAAGTACAAACATTGAGTCTTAAATGTCAGGGTGGATAATTCAGGTAGATGAACTGACAATATACCAGACACTAAAATAGCAGTAGGTTAATAAGCAAGAAGACTTAGAATCATCAGATAGCCATGCTGAAGCAATTCAAAGTCAACTAGGTTCTACCTAAATTGTGTGTGTGTGTGTGTGTGTGTGTGTGTGAGAGAGAGAGAGAGAGAAGAGAGTTGAGATGACCTAGAGGTACATGATGGATAAAACTCTGTCCTCCCCTATACAGGCTCATAACTCATAACAAGGACAATTCTTGGGAACTGTCTGTCTTGTTTTGAGGCAGGGCCTCTCACTGGCCAGGAACTTGCCAAATAAATTAGACTGTCTGCCCCAAGAACCCAAGCATTCTGCCATTTCCACATCCTCCGTGCTATGATTTCAAGCACATGCTGCCATGCCAGGCTTTTGTCATGTGAAATCTGAGAATTGAACTCAGGTCTTGAGCTTATGAGGCAAGAACTTTACCATCTGAGTTGTCCACCCAGACTGCAACTGCATTGCCTAGTTTTATGTCACCTTGATACAAGATAGAGTCTTCTATGGGGTAGGACCCTCAAGTGGGAAATTGCCTCCATAAATGATCGGGCTATAGGCAAGTGTAGACATTTTCTTAATTAGTAATTGGTATGGGAGGGTCCAGGCCATTGTAGGTGCTGTCACTCCTGGGCTAGTGGTCCTGGATCCTCTGAGAAAGCAGGCTGAGCAAGCCAGTAGGCAGCGCTCCTCCATGAGTTCTCATCAACTCCTACCTCTAGGTTCTTGCCCTGTTGGAGTTCCTGACCTCACTGCCTTTGATGATGAACAATTGATTACATGGAGGTACAAGCACAATAAACCCTTTCCTCTCCAAGTTGCTTTTGGGCACAGTGTTTCATTACAGCAGTAGTAACCCTTCCTAAAACAATAACTACATTTTGAAAGCCCTCAAATGCCATGCCATGGAATTTGCATAATATTCTATGAGAATGGCAAAAAAATGGCACTTGAGGTAATTGGCTTCCTCCAAATGGTGCCTGGGGTGAAGGGAGATTGTTTGAGGAGTCCAGTGTCTGTTCTCACATCAACAGGAGTTGGGCTTTAATTCTGTCTCTAACTGTGTTGGCACAAGGCTGGATTACCTCCTAACCTAAGTGAGTGAATTGCAGAGGTGACACAGTGTCAGACCCACTGAATCCTCCTTCTCTTTACAGTCCTCTTGCGAACGCTCCAAACCTGGCCATCCTCCTCTGCCATGCAGACGGGACTTTCCTTTGCAGACTTCACCATCTACAAAGCTAGAAAGCATGCACAGCTCTTTTTAGACTTGAGCAGATAACGCATCTGCAATTTTACCTGTTGACAGTTCTCTAAGGGTTTTGTGATGTCCCGAAAGCGTACACATTTCCTGCATGTCGAACATGACATTGAGCAGAGCAGGCACGCACGATACCTGGCACAAGTCTGCAGAGATCCGGAGCCAAGAGGGCTTTGCCTGGACAATTTCTGAGAAACCTGGACACCATATAGACATTATCCCAATCTGACATCATTCTGGCTGGATCTGCCTGCTTCCCATACCCTTAAATCTCAAAGACCATCACATTCTTCTGAAAAAAAATCCTCAGCCAAAAATTTTGGCTGTTGACCTTATTTTATAAAATCAGTGTTGAAAAAGAGAAGAAAAAGTGCATTTCAGTCCAATCTGATACTATAAATACCATTGAAACCAAACCTGAGGATCGGGGCTCTCCAAGGGTCTCCTAACCAATGTCACAAAAGGAAGAATTGGGAAACAAAATTATGTCTACAAAACCTAAAATATCATGTCACTAAAACTGATTCCATTTTTTTTAGTTATAGACTGAATAAGAAAGTATTATGAAATTAAAAAAATATTAGCTTCAAGACTAAGGAGTTGTATGTAAATAACTAAGGCAATGGGATGTTTGAATGGCTGGTACTACTTGGATAATGCTAAGTCCCTATACTTAATTCCATTTTCTTACTGATGCTGTGAAATGGTGGTGCTTAAGCTGTAATCTCACTGGACTACAAACATTCAGGATAAATGTTTAGGAAGTTTAAATAACTAAGTCTGTACAACCAAGGAGGAATGCAGAAAGAATACTTTTGGAGTTTGAAAATGGAGGCTCCAAATGGAAGTGGTAGGGTGGGTGGATTCCCATGGTCTTGCCAGAGCTCTCTGAAACTTGATATGCAGAGAAAATGTGCAAGTGCCCAGAATATATTTCTCCGGGCTGAGCCTCAGTTTACACCATCCTCAATTGGATATCCCAAGGTCCCACAATTCAAAATTCCCTAGCGAAGTGTGGCCTGTGGAGATGTAAGAATATCCTTACACAGAAGTTTGGAGACCCAGGAAAGTTTGCTTGAGAGCCTTCTTGAGTCTATGTACCTGCTTTTTGTAATAACATTCCAGAGGAATAGTAAAACTGAGGGATGAAAAGAAATATTTAATAACCTATCTAAATATATGTATGTCTTTCTACATGTCAGACCAGTGACCAAGCCATAAATTTAAATGCCTACAACAGGAAGAATACATTCCAGTGATTTTTTTACGAATAACAGAATGTATCTTTGCAAGCATCCAGCAGCATCTCATCAGAGATGATTTTGGGTGAACACCAGACACAGAATGTGATCTGGAGTGCTTCACATCTTATTTTTCTGAGATTCTAGAAAACTAATAGCCCAAAACTGTAAAGGACCATTGCCCTACCCACCCCACATGACTCTTACAACTCACCTAGAGGCTCTTTTGGATCCTCTGCATATTGGCTGCCTGTGACACACAGAAAGAAGGCTCCTAGGCAAAGGGTCAGAGTGGTGAGACTCATGCTAAGGTTGAGGATCTTGATGGGCAGCCCAGGGCTGAAGCAACACATCCCAAAGCACAGTCTGTCTGTGCAAGGTAAACAGGATGGAGCATGCTCAGCTCAAGTGAACACTGCCGTCTGTTTACCATGTGTTCTGTTTTGCCTATGCTGGAACGAGGACTTGCCTTTGGGCCTTACAAGCCTAGAGATTCTGTTACTTTGAAAGCTGTGTGGTGGCATTGCTGAGGATGCAGGAGTACTCGTCCAGGTGGCATAAACACCAGTATTCAAAGTTGACAGATGAGGCTCATATATATACACATGGAGGTTGTGTTGAAAATACATACAGGGAAGTAGAGAACTGTAATGAATATGATAAACATCCACAAAACAGGCCAACAATAATATTTTTAAATTTAAAAATAGATGTCTTTGGTTGCAGGATGATGGTCTCAAGTATCAGGTCTTTATGAAGGTCAACACCAAACACTGGCCTTTGTACCCCATGGGAGTCTGGAGGACTTAGTTCTAAAGAG